TTGGAATATTGCCATCAGGATATCTTTCTTCATACAACCTTCTTGCTTCCAAAGCATTGCAAGATGCAAGCCCGTACATAAGATGCATATTTGCATACTCACTAAATGTGTATCCCACAGACCTACAAACAAGATGGACCGGTTTATTTACATTGAAAAGAGTGGCCAGGAACAAAAATAAATATTTTCCCTCAGTTGTCACATTTGACTTTGAAGTTTCTATATTTTACGTAAAAGATACTTGGAATCCACAACATTTAATATTTTTTATTTGATTTTATAGTGAAAAATACCAATAGTGAGTGATATAAAAATGGTGAAGCAGTGCTACGTTTGTAAAAGACTTGGATCCAAGAATTTAAAACTTTCTTTTCATAGGTTAGTTTATTTACAAAACAAACCCTGCCAGGAGCGTAGAAACTGAATAAATAAATGAATTCACTTAAATTTTAGATTTAAACAGCCAGATTCTACATCATCTGGAACACTAACTGACAAGGTTAGTATTTTGTTATACCTATATATTTATATATATTAAATATAATTTTTACATAGGATTGCAAAACACAATAAAAAATGTACAATTTAATATTTTTATTTATCCCTAAAAACAGAACGCCACTGGTGTGGGAACTTGTTTATAAATACCCCTTACCCCTTTACCCCTAATCTAAATAGTTCTTGGCAACAAAACATTGTGTATTTTGAATAGGAAAGGCCAGTCCATCTTGTTTGTAGGTCTGTGGTGTATCCCATTATTTAATTAAATTTACCAAGATATTCAAAATTCAATAAATTAATATCGAAGTAAAGGATCAGCGTGCTAACAATATGAAAGATGACAAGATTTAAAATACACACGTCAATGCAAGATATTTATTATTTCGTAGGTACCATAGTAACGTTTGTAAAAACAGTGCGTTTTTTAATGCTAATGGGTAATTCCATTTATTAGCCACGAATGAGTGCACCTCATATATTCTAATTTTATTTCTTTTTTAACTGTAAATAGACATGGACCCAAGAAGTGAAAAAAATTCCCCTTTTCTTTTCTCCCCCTATCACCCATTTATACAGGGCTACGCAAAAGTTACTATGCAGACCTAACTTAAAAAAATTGTACTTTTTTTGCTAATAAAGCTATCGACATTAAACAAACTGTTAATTGTTAAGAAAATATTTCTCTTTTAAACCATATAGGACACATTTAGTTATTGATGCCCTAAATGGTCTTTGGGAATTTTTTTAAAAATGCAATTTTTGGCAAAATTGTCTAATTTTATAAATTCATATATTCTTAGAACAACTTGCCAGCAAAATTTTTTTAATGTAGTTTGTTACCATATATCTTACTCTATATAAAAGCAATGAAAACATTTTCAAATAATATTGGCTAAGAGTTCAAAAAAATATAATAAAAATCCATGTTTTCGAAAAATCACTATTTTTAGCCATTTCATGGTTTAAAAAGGCTATGTTTGAGTGAGTCGATTTAAACCAATTTATGCTTATCATCACATGCACTTATTAGCCTCCAATAACCATTAATAAAATTATTGTGTATTTTGCTTTTAACAGGGCTGTGGCTGTATGTACAGCCCAGCTATAAGCAAAATACACAATATGCCCACCTGACTTTCAGCCATTTCATGATTTAAAAAGGCTATGTTTGAGTGAGTCGATTTAAACCAATTTATGCTTATCATCACAGGCACTTATTGGTCTCCAATAATCATGAATAAAATTATTATGTATTTTTCTTTTAGCTGGGCTGTGGATGTATATGTCCACCTGTGACTATATACATATTATTAACCATATATTATTAACCATATATTTCGAAAAAGCGTATTGCATCTTTAAAATAACTTGACAGCCTTGAATTGACTTCTAATAAATGTAAGCATTAAAATATACAACCTAGTCCGCCCCTGGTAAACTAAACAAGCTAATTATGTTTTAAGGGCAGTATTTTAAGAGGTCCTTACTACTGTTTATCATATTAAATTTTCATTAAATTATATTAAGTAGTTTAAAAGTTATTCAAGAAAAACTGATTTCCAGTGGCGTCCTTTAGGAGGCCGTATCTCCGTAGGGAGGGCCGCTAGGAAAAAAAATTATGGGAACTTGTCATCTTATTTTTTAATGTTCTATCTGAATCCGAGAGATTTCCCACATTTTCCGGGACACCCTAACTGGAAACAAATTTTCGAACGCAAAAACGAAAAATCCAACAATACTTAATTTAACTACCTAAACCATAGATAAAAGACCTAAACCCCGTATAGCATACGCACTGACGGCGCGAGCAGATTATGCAAGACAGAGTAAGCACGTCGACACGGTTTCGAATATCCGAGCACTGGTGGGAGATCGGAATTTCAAGCGAAATGAAACAAAAACCCCTCATTCCAAACTTGGAACAATGTTGGGTAGATGGCAAGACCTTACGGACACATTTTCCTATATTTTCAACTAAAACGCTTGGCACAGATATTCCTATCTGGTTGCACGTCTTCTCATTCCTTAGTCCACAATCCACACAAGGTCTGTTCGATCTCGTAGTAAAAATACTATAAAATCACTGCAACCATAGATAATAAATCATAACTGCAACACTGCACATCATACGATGGCGGCCATTTTTGTTGTTTACAATTCTTCTGCTTTGGATTTGTACAGATTAATAATCGTTTTAAACGTTGTGTTTCTTACAGAGAGACTTGCAAGCCTTAAAAGAGACCTCAAAGTGGTAAGAACAATCATTTTACTCCTCTTTATAAAAATAAACCTTATTCTATCAGGGCTGTCAAATGTCAATTTGAACGTTAATTTAAGGTTATTTTATAACCCACAAATTAACCTTCAAATTGACATTTGACAGCCCTGATAGAATAAGGTTTATTTTTTACAAAAGAGGAGTAAAATTATTGTTCTTACCACTTTGAGGTCTGTTTTAAGGCTTGCAAGTCTCTCTGTAAGAAACACAACGTTTAAAACGATTATTAATCTGTATAAACCCAAAGCACAAGAATTGTAAACAACAAAAATTGCCGCCATCGTATGATGTGCAGTGTTGCAGTAATTTTTAGTATTTTTACTACGAGATCGAACCGAGGGGTCACCCACACCTGGGAATCCCTGGACATTTTAGAGGGGGAATACTATAGGAATACACAGGGCCGAGCCTAGGGTATCTGCCGCCCGGGTGCAAGAATTAAATTTGCCGCCCCCATTAATCTAAAAAATTAGGTTGTCGGTAGGGAAGGAGTTCATAATTTATCATTCTCAATAAACATATAACAAATTTTATAGTAAAATAACAAAGTATTTATTAACAAATACATAAAAGAATAAAATAAAAATACATTCAGGAAAAAAACAACAAAAATAATTTAACTAAACTAAAAAACTAAAATCTACTTTTCTCGCTTTTTTAATAGCAAATTCCCTAATCAAGTCACCTACATCCAAGTTGTTAGAAATATCTTCTTCAATACTTATAATTGCTAAATTTGAAAGCCTGAATTGACTCATATTGGATCTTAAATAGGTCTTAATTAGTTTTAATTTCGAAAATGACCGCTCTCCATGGGCAACAGAAACTGCCATTGTTAAAAATATTCTTAAAGCTACAAATAAATTCGGAAAGATGCCTTTTAAATCATTAACTTATTTTTAACTTAAACGCATTAAAAAACAAAAGAAACTACTATGTTTGCATCCTATTTGCCTCACGTTAATAGAAAAACTAAAAATTGCTGAAATACGCAGGCGTCAAATCGGAAGAAATTATGCTTTAACTTAAGTAACTGTTCAGCTTGTAAACAATATCACGTGGTACACAGAGCGCGATTTGATTGGTTTCCCGTAAGCCCGCTTCCGTAAAACATGAAACTTGACGAACTCGAAGCGGACGGACGGAAAGCGAAGCAGGCGGGCGGCAATCTATAAACCGAGCTTTAAGAAAATTGTCATCATTTTTTGTGGCTATCGCGCGTTCGGTTATGTCTTTTTTATCATTGCCGCCTGACAGTACAATTTTGGCATTGTTTTTATGTGTAGAATAAAAACGATGATTCCTTGAAACGCCGTCATCAATAAAACGCAAGTGATTTTTAGAAAGTTTTTTGCATATTGAAGGTGGCTTTTTTATTCTTGATAATATGATACAATTTTTTTGATGATATTTTGCCGCCCTGTGTTAGTGCCGCCCGGGTGCCATGCACCCCTTGCACCCCCGGCATGGCTCGGCCCTGGGAATACAATGGAAATACATAGGAATACAATAAAATATAATGGGAATACATGGGAATCCCTGGACGTTTTCCCTTTGGGTGGTTGACCCCTTGGATCGAACAGACCTTGTGTAGATTGTGCCTTAGTCAATGGTACTACTCTGTGTGGAAGTATGTGTAATTCTGTCATCCTATGATAAAATAATTCATTCTTTAATATATTTAATTAATTAATGTTAGCTGTGCACAGTCATATTCTGTAATAGGAGTAGAATTTTGTTTTTCTACTCCTATTATGGAATTTGACCGTTCTAATATCACTTTTATCTATGGAATGACATTTATTCCGTAAAGTGTTACAGAATGAAATATTCTATCATCTGATGACAGAATATACACTCGTGGCGACATCTCTGTTTTTAATATCTAAAAAATTTTAGACCGATCCAACCTCACTTTCTTCCAATTAAATTATTTGTATATGGTATTTTTTGGAAAAAGTATAGTCTGAAACACGTTTGGAATTGCATATTCCCCTCTCGTGAAATCGTCAAACTCGCCTTCGGCTCGTGTGACAAACTTTTCACTCGAGCGGAATATGCCGTATTCCAAACTTGTTACAGAATATACTATTTCATATTTGGTTACTTTCTTCTATTAGGTACTATGTTATGTGATTAAGTGAATAAGTAGTTGTATTTACAAAGTTTGTAGACTTCTTGGTTTTATTTTTTAGTAGGTACCTAATAATTTTTTTCTTACCATTGCTTTTTTCCTTAATACCAAGTGAATTTTCTCTTCCACAAAGTTTACATTTAGCTAAATAATGTGTCTCAGATTTTACTTTACCAGAAAACGTAATACTTTCTGTAACATCATGCCATTTATCAGATATCTCTCCACAGCTGGTACATTGTAGTTTTAGTAAAAAAGAATAATCAGGATGGTTTGTATAAAATTCTTCAATGTTTTCCAATGTTGCTTTAACTTCCAAAACAACCATTTTTAGAGCAATTATATTTTATGTTTATCTACAAGCGTCGTTATCAGAGTCGTTATGAAAACTTTGACAGATTGAGCACAGAACATAAGATTGAGGTTATAGTACTTCTTCTTCTTCCTTGGTGGCAAAAAGTCTTCTTCTTCTTCTTCTTCGGTTTGATTGGCCTTTCCCTTCCGGGAATTAGTGCTCATTCATAATGGACGTAACCATAAGATGCGCGTAAACGTAAACGTAAACATAATATCACCATAATTTGTACGTAACGATGAGTTGTGTTTATAATGAACGTATGCATGGCTACTACCCTGATTGCTACCAACAATGTTCTAGTGAAATCATGAAAGTTACTAAAATTCACACATAAGAAACCCGTAAAGTTGAGATGATTTCAACTTTACGTATTTTTTACGGTCACCCATAAGATCTTATGTTCGAACGTAAAACGTAAAAGTTACGGCTATTCATTATAAACAGGCACACTGGTTTTGTTAATATTCAACTTTACGTTTTACGTATTTCTTACGGGCATCTTATGGTTACGTCCATTATGAATGAGCACTTAGCCAGCTGTATTTTATTCAATATTATACTGGAGCACGCGAGTCTAGGATAACCTATAGCTTACTCCTTTTCTTCTTGGTTTTATATTTTATTTATTATTATGGCAAAAAGTCGCGACCAATATGACCATATGCAAGGAATGCGGTCGATGTTGCCAATGGTAAAAAAATAAAATTCCCTATTGGGAACATTCAATTATATTACGTTGGCTACATTGAAGATTTGAATTTCCCGCACAAACTAAATTAATTTCCATCTTTTTTTTAATAATAATAAATAATAATAATTCCCACATTTGAAATTCGCACCTTAATTTATTATACAACATTGGAACTACCTTCTTTATCTCTGGGAACTACTAGAATGTATGTCAGTTTGTGCGGGAAATTCAAAATTTCAGTGTAGCCAACGTAATATAATTGAATGTTTTTTACCATTGGCAACATCGACCGCATTCCTTGCATATGGTCAATTGACATAGCGTACGCTGTTATGGTACTATACTCAGGAACGCCTAAATGCAGGAATGGGCTCCATCTTAATATAATTTTTGCGTAAAATAAAACAATCCAAATCAAACCAAACCCAGGCACCCCACCCCTCGTAACCGCCCTATTGAAGCCTAACCACCCTATTGAAGACGATTATTCCATCGTGCATTGCCTTTTATCTCGAACTTTGTTACCGATGGAATAATCGTCTTCAATAGGGTGGTTAGGCTTCAATAGGGCGGTTACGGGGGGTTGGGTTTGGTTTGATTTGGTTTTATTTTACGCAAAATTTATATTCAGATGGAGCCCATTCCTGCATTTAGGCGTTCCTCTATACTCCACACCTCAAAGTCCCACCACGTTACCACGTACGGAACGCAGTCTTTTGAAAATTTGGCATTTAAGGCTTTTCAGGTTATGTATCTGTCAAAGTATAGTCAATGAAAGAAATACTATTTATAGTGTTACCGCTTATGTTTAAACGTTAAAAGTTTATAAATCTTTATAGTATCACAATAACAATGGTTGGTTTAAGAACAGTGTTGCCACCTATAACTTTTTTTTTCGTAATAGAAGCATGCGTCAAAATGTAATAGATTTGGGATTTAAGGTATAGTGGTATTAATATCTCATGGCGGGTGACCTTGAGAGAAGCTGACAGACGCCATTCAATTTAATAAATAAATGGAAACTAAAAACATCCGCCACTTCCATAGACCTTTAAGTTAACTTAAATGTCTATGGATGCTTCCCAAATCTGTCATCTGTCAACTAATATAGGCTGTGTTCCGTAATTTACTGCCATTACTGTCAGTAATTTTACTGTCAGTAGCGGAAAAGGACCGTTCCGTAATTTATTCAGTACTGACGCACAGTGAAATTGGAACGCGCCTCAGTAGCAGCAGAAAGTGACAATGGTTATGCAAGGTTATGATTTGTGATTTACTGACAATTGACAAACTTTACTTTCGGCACAGCAGAGAACATAAATAAAAAATAAATATAACAGTTATCGCCGACGGTGGACGAGTGGTTAGTGCTGCTGACTACAAGCCGGAGGTCGTGGGTTCGAATCCCACCAGGGGTATGACTGTTTATTTGTGTTTGTCCTATTGTGTAATAGTCCTTCGGAGGGGACTTTAAGCCCGCGGTCCGTTCCTACCCCTAACCCGCACAAGCCATTCAGTTGGCTTATGGGACTTCTTAAGAAGTAACAGTGGAACTAAAAGAGCACTTTTGTATATAAACTTTTGTATAAGAAATATAATGTTTGGTTTATGGCAGAGAAATATGGAAAATTTAATGTTATCGTCGTCCGCGTCGAAAAATGTATATAGGAATAGGAAATATAAAATTTCACTGACACCACAACAATAAGCCAAATACCAAAAATTACTCTTAAATTCGTCCGCTGAATACAAATATATAACATTTTCTATAGGTACTACCTAGTAGGTAGTTTCATATTCTGGGTCTTCGTATGCGTACTCCCCGCCGACCTGCCTTCGTCACTGCTGCTTGTACTTTCAAGTAATATTTTATCAATAAATATTGAAATAATTAAAGGTATTCACCAAATACCATTATATGATATAATTTATATCCTTCACTTTATTTGACAGCTATTTTTTGTTTAAAAGTTTGGTTATGTGTTTTACTGGAGCCACAGCACCTCTCTGCCCCCAGTTGTTTCAGTAAAATTAATCTGCCGTACATTTATAAAAGGGTAGTATTTACCACTGAGCTCAGTAACTGAAAGTGGATTTCGGAATGCGTTTTCAGTACTGACAGTACTGACAGTAAATTACGGAACATAAGCATAGTAAAGCGTTTTTTTCTTTATTTTATGAAATATATTGTAACATTAGATAATGACTGCAGTTGAAGACCCTGCTGCAAAAAGGAGCTAACTCCATAAAAGTTATTTTTGAGTCATATTTGCATAAAACAATGCAGAATAGTCTAGTTCACAGTTGTAAGGGTGTAAAAGTCACTTTTGTAAAAGTTACCCCCTTTTTGCAGCAAGGTCTTCAAATGTTGAGCAATGATCTGTAAAATATATAATGGATTTCAGTAAAAAAAAAGAATAGAATCTGTATAGAATCCGAATTTTGCTGTAAAAATGTACCTAAAGGTTTTTATTTCATATTTTTCTTGTGTATGGCAAAATATGTTGATTTACTGCTAATACAAGTATCATATTATGAATAAGTTCTAAAACTTCTAAATGTGCTTTATTTCAGACAAAAGGCTTACATTTTTTAAAAATATGCATTATTTTTCTTCTATAATTTTTTTTTATTCTTTCTTTCAAGAGAATAGAGTAATTGCATCAAAAATGAAAATCCCTAAAAACCTTTTTATTGTAATCTAGAGGTAAAAACACATTGCGAAAATATTTTTTTATATTCCAAAAGTTCAACCCGGCCCCAAAATATCAAATTGAAAAAAAGGTACTTTTCAAACGTTCCGAACTCCCGCCATATTGCATGACGTCATAAACTTCACCAGCTGTCAGAAATCAAGATGTCAACAAATAATAAACACCGATAAAGTTTATGTTTAACATGGAAAACGCGAAACCAAAAATTGGTTGTAAATATTGTTTTGTGCCTTGTACAAATACAACCTGGAAAACTCCTGGGAAAAGGTTTATCACCGTGCCAAAAGGGAAAATAAGGATAAAGTGGATTAAAATAGCTCGGCGCGATATCAAAACATCGTCACCATTTTATTGCTCATTTTAAGGATCATTTTAATGTAAGTAAAATAAAATGTCGTTTACTAGGTATATGGTTTGAATAGGTATGTTAAATATTAATAAATTCAAGAAAATACGGCTGAGCCGTAACTACTCTCAGTGTAGGGTCATAAACTTTGCTTTTGATAATTGAAGGGACAACTTTCCCAGGAGTTTTCCAGGTTGTATTTGTACAACAAGGCACAAAACAATATTTACAACCAATTTTTGGTTTCGCGTTTTCCATGTTAAACATAAACTTTATCGGTGTTTATTATTTGTTGACATCTTGATTTCTGACAGCTGGTGAAGCTTATGACGTCATGCAATATGGCGGGAGTTCGGAACGTTTGAAAAGTACCTTTTTTTCAATTTGATATTTTGGGGCCGGGTTGAACTTTTGGAATATAAAAAAATATTTTTGCAATGTGTTTTTACCTCTAGATTACATTAAAAAGGTTTTTAGGGATTTTCATTTTTGATGCAATTACTCTATTGGACACGTTTCAACTCGCGTTTCAAATATTGGAGAACGTTGTAGACGATCTGCCGCTCTTGGATGTGAATGACTTCTTTTTTGCCGTTATTCATTTCGTATAACAAATATAATAATAGAATTTCTAGCCTATAAATATGTTTAAATATGGCAATAAATATCAGCTGATGCTAGCATTGCCAACCCTGGGGTAGTATGTTTTTAGGACGGCGAGTAAAAGCGCGATTTGACGGATTTGTGACGTTTGCGCGCCCAAGGTCACCCGCCATGAGATATTAATACCACTATAATAGACTATTTTGAATCAAATTTTTTTGATTATTTGACGTTTTACAGTTGTCATTAGAATAAAATTGAATTTTTACATAATGCTTTATAATCTGTGCATGATGCTCATGCTATTTTAATAAAAACTTTATAAATACAAATTTAAGCACACAACAAACGTCAAACACTCAAGCAGTGTTGCCAGACGTACGATAATTTTTCATTGAAAGAATAATTATCCTTTTTGTACGATAATAATTATACGTACGTACGTTTACAAAATCACATGTAAGATAAAATTAAAATGTGTAATAATTTCATGCAAATCAAATTGCACAAGGAAATAAAACTACCCAATATTAACAAAATCTTAATAAACAAACAGGTTTATTTGAATTAACTCTTTATTTTTTATTTTTTTTAAGTAATTAATTTAAAATATATAACAATATTTAAAACACTTATATTAAAAAAATTTAATTCTACAATACCCAGTAAACACAATTACGTAAATATGACGTAAATATGACGTCATGCCAGGTCACGCTTACGTAAGATATAGGTCACACTTGAGTCATACAAGAGTCATTATTTCACA